GATTTGCCTTGATGGTGCTCATTCTCTTTAGACTGATAAGGACAAATATCCTCATAAAAAATCACATCTCTAGAAGTAAATATTTGTTGAGTTTCTAAATCATATAATTTGTAAGCTTTCTTTCCTAAAGGGTAGCCTACAAAAATGCATTTAAATGCTCTAGAATCAAACTTTCCACGATTTTGGGAATGATTGTGGGCATATCAAAGGCGACCAAAAACTTTCAAAGAATCATAGCAAGGTGGTTTGTTAAATAGCTTTTCAAAGGAGGTGAGTCCTGAAAGAATGGGTGGAGTTAAATTGATCAAATATGTGGCTGTAAGCCTGTAAAACACTCTCCCCAAAAATTTAAAGATAAATTGACTTGAAATTTGAGTGTTTGAGCTACCTCAAGCAAATGACAGTGCTTATGCCCAACGGCACCATTTTCTTGTGGTGTGTGTAGACAAGAAGTTTGTTGTAAAATGCCCTTTTTGAGACAAAAATCTTTTACAACTCCTTCAGTAATTTCCTTTCTATTGTCACTATGAATTTGTTGAACATGAGTATGGAATTAAGTTTCAATCATTTGGCAAAATTTATCAAATATGAAGCAGCTTCATATTTATGTTTTAAAAGATAAACACGTGCAACAAGAGAAATCATCAACTATAGTAAAAAAATAATGAGCCTGTATTAGAGGGAGTGGCATATCTACCCCAAATGTTACAATGAAGTAAGGCAAATATAGGTTAAAGTATTATTACTAAGGTTACACCCTTGATTCAGTCCCTCAACTTTCATTTTTGAACTAAATTTACCCTCGAACTTCAAAAAGTACTAAAAATCCTTGAACTTCAATTTTTGGAACCAGTTTTGTCCTTTTGTCAGTTAAGTGTTGACATGACAAAATTTCCCGTTAACAAATTCAATTTTTATTAATATTAAATATTACCTGAAAATAAAACAAGTGAAGTGGCATTTTTAATTATAAAAATATTGTGACTTGGCACCAAAAATATAATTTAATAAATAAAAATTTCCTTTCTTTCTTTTTTCTTTCTTTTCCTTTTTTTTTTCTCCTTCTCTTTCCTTTTCTCCTTCCCCTCTCTACTGGGTTCGATGGAACCCAGGCGCGGGTTCCTTGAACCTAGGGCCTGGGTTTGAGTTGAACTCGCTCGGGTTTTTTCTTTTGTTTCTTTGTTGGCTGTAGTCATGCTTGGTTATCTTGGAATGGGATGTAGAGTTTTGTGTTGCTTCTGATTGCTTGAATTTCAAGATCTTTTTACTGTTGGTGTTGATTGAAGGGATGTTGTGTTTTTTACATTTTCCTTTACAGATCTGGTATACATTTGCAGAGGAATTGATTTTTGAATCAAATCTATTGGTCATTATTATTGTGTGAGGAACCAGATTTGGGTTCTATTAAAGAGGACGTTTGGGGAAGAAGTAGATGGTGATTAGAGTGGTAATAGATGATCGAAGTAATGAGGGATGATCGAAACAATGAGGGATGATCGGTGCTGATTGGGTTGTAAGATGAGGAGACATCTAAGGATAAAGAGAGACAAGAAGGGATGGAAGATGAAGATGGGGTATTTAAGGAATTTTAAAAATTATAATATATAAATTAATTAAAATGATGTGGATAATAATGAGTTAAGTTATTTTCCATGTAATTAAAGATTTCAAACAAGAATTGATTTCGTGGCAACTTAACGTGCCATCTGGCACTTCCGTTGACGGAAGGACGAAATTGGTATCGAAAATTGAAGTTTAAGGATTTTTTTAGTACTTTTTAAAGTTCGAGGGTAAATTTAGTTCAAAAATGAAAGTTGAGGGACTGAATTGGGGATTTAACCTATTACTAAAAGGAAATGGTAATCAAGTTTGTTTGGCCCTTTGGCAAATGTCGCAAACATGCTTTATTTGAGGAGAACAAGAACACAAGGAAAGGATTTTGGATAAAAGTTCAACAGAAATGTGCCCAAGTCTTTGATGCCACAATTCATATGATGTGCTCTACTTTTGTTTTAGTTGACTAGCTGTTGCAACATGTCCAAAACTGCAATAATACATCCCTTCGTGAAGCCTACCCACTCTAATAAGCTTTTGCGAGGTAAGGTCCTAAAAAACATAGAAGTTAGGAAAGAAGATCACAGCACAACCAAGTTGTTTGGTTATTTCACTGACTAATAAAGATTGTAGGTGAATTTTAGGACACATAAGGCACTATCTAAAGTGGTTTCATTGGTTAAAATTATTTTTCCTGCATGTGATGTCTCCAAAGAGGTCCCATTGGGTATATGGACAGAGGTGAGGTATAAGGTTTTGCTTTGGTAAATGCAGATAAG